GTTCTTTTTTTATTCCTCTTTGCATTAACAATCATTAAACATTAATATTATTTTATGTTGTGAGCAAATTTTCTAAACACTTTAATTGTACAGAATAAAGTGGTTTGTGTATATAATAAACAAACAGATAATATGGCGAGTTCGAGAAGATCGTAAATAATACGGTCTTTAATTTGTGTGGAGAGCGTATTGTGTTTTAGTTGAAATTTTTGATTCATTTTTTATTTCATTGGATTCTACATTTCTTTGTAATAAATAAATACTATGTTAAGACATAAGCAATTTTCGCATAGAGAGTTTGTGTTAACACTTTCACTTTCAAAATTTTATGAACGGCAAAATAATAGAACAAACTAAAAGCAATTTGTTTTTCGACAGGATTCGCCGCTATATTTTCTTATTCCTTAAAATTAAATTCCCTTACGTTTGTTCTAATATATAACAAAATTTCTACTTGTTTCTTTAGTTATTTAATTAATTTATTAAAGAAAATAGATTTCATATAATAAATTGTTAATTCATTCGCATATACATTTTTGTTTAAAATTTGTATTTGCTTGAAGTTTGCTTTGTATTCCTTCTTTAAGTTTCAAGTTAATTTCAATTCATAAAAACAATTAATATTGTTTCATTGTGAATTACGAAAACTGATTTATTCGATACACAAACCATTTCTGACACTGCTTGTAGGGGTATTAAATGCATGTATACATGAGTGAAATGGTGTGCCTGTTGGTAATTGAACAAAAGGACAAATTTTTGCTTTTAAAAGAAACGGTCGTTAACTAATTGTACCACTTGTTTCTATTTTACTGAAATTGTCTTTTCAATCTTAACTTTAAAATCCTTGTGTGATTTAATTACAAACTTATTTAAATTTTCTTTTGTAAGCATGTCGCAAAAAAACGAATAAAATACTTACAATGGCAATTCTGAATAAAATGGAAATTTTGTTAGGCTGATATATGCAAAATACGAAATAAAATTTAAAGTTAAAGTTTCGAAAATGAATAATAATTCTTTGTAATATTTTTTTTACGTGATTAGAATAAATTGTGAATTTTCATGCATTTTAACAGTAAAATAATAAATACAAAAAGTAACGTATGTGTTACGAACAATGACGACACGAAATACGAAGAATTAACGAAATCATTCATTAATAGTTAACTGGAAATTTCGTAAAACTTCTAAGAATAGTTCACAATATATGAATTTTTAGTCTTAGCAACCATGCGATTTGAGCTGCTTATTAGTTAAGCGATTTCAAAAAGGTTGGACTTAATAAGCCAGCAGTGTTGTTGTTTTATATGTTATTTTTCAAATAAGCAGTTGTTCTTTTGTGATATGTTACATAAGAAGAGGCCTAATATTGAATTTTGTATAAATATTTTTTTATATATAAAGCTCAAATCGCATGGTTGCCAAAACTAAAAATTCCTATATTGTGAACTATTCTTAGAAGTACATACGAAATTTCCAGTTAACTGTTAACGAATGATTTCCTTAATTCTTCGTATTTTGTGTCATCATTGTTCGTAACACATACGTTACTTTTTCTATTTATTATTTTACTATTAAAGGGCATGAAAATTAATATAAAAAAATATATTCTTACCAATAATTACAAAGAAAAGGCCTATTAATATTTTCTTATATGACAAATTTGTTAACAATAAAGTCTTTAAGTAGTTCATAATTTTATTTAGTTTATTGTGAATGTTCATGAATGTTTTGTAATAGAACATAAGAAGAAGAAATTATCAAATAATCGTATTCTGTCAACTATTCGCGCTTTTCAAGTTGTTAATAATGTACTTGTTTTAAAGATTACCGCCATCGGACGCTCCAGAAATTAGCAAAACGTAAGTTTGTAAATTTATTATTATATATAACCATGTATTGATCAATAATATTTTCGAGCAAAAGGTTGATCATGCAATTTTTTTGTATTCTTGGATTTTGTTTTCATTTTGGCATGATTTTGTGAGGCGTCTAAGTATCCTTCACTAGTGTTGTGTCATGTTTTGAAAGTGCCTTCACTGAAATATTTGATTTTTTAGCTTTCGCCTTCCTTCGTGTACCTAAATATTAAAAATTAGGCTACTTTTAATTTTGTTTAATATAATTTGTAATTAAAAAATAAAATTTGAGAAAAAGAGAGAGATAGCATCATACTGGCTTACATTTGTCGGTAGAAAACAAAAGAACGCAAATTTATTTTGTCTTCTACCAAATAATAGGTCTGTTCCACGAGCTACTCGTAGTAACTTTAGTACTCGTAGCACTGTTTATACTCAACTGCGTTCCAATAGGAAATTTTCGAGTAAATGAAAGCATCTGAGAGAGCGTATCATTCTTATCGAAAATTAAAAAAGCGCCACAGACTTGTGAATCAGCTGTTTTGGTTTGAATTTAAATTTATGTATTGTTTAATTGTGCGGCAGTGGTTGTTCTCACTAATTTTACACAAAGCTGTTCCATGAAAAAATGTGTAAAAAGCGTAATTTGGCACTTATTTGTGTTACGCTCTCAGTTTGAACTTGTGTTTTACTTGAGTATTACTACGAGAAGCTCGTGGAACAGACCTAATGTAAAAATATACTATACTCCCGCGTGATTTCAAAGAAGTGTGCATTCGACTTTGCGCTTTTTATTTTAATTACCTGCGCCAGTTGCCTTTCGATGTGCTTCTGTATTTTTGAAATAAGTAGCGTTTTCTTTCTTCTTATTTAGCTTCATAGCTGTTTTCAGAATTTTATCCTGGAAACGCTCTGGTAGGGGAAGTTTTTCGCCGGATAAAGCTACTTTGCAATTTGGCTCGACTTCCCTTAAAATTTTATGTACAACTTTGAATATTAGGTTAAACTGTCCAGTAGATGTATTGGGATTGTCTTTTGAGTCGACAACAATTTTAATTAGATCCTTCTGAACACGTGGGCACAGCTTTGCTGTTACTGAAGTAGAATGACACAAATCTGGGGTGGAATTAATTTCTATTAAAATTGGGTTGAATTCTTCATCCAACATAAAATCACAACCATACATTTCAAAACTATTTTTAACGAACTTTGTATCTTCGAAACTCGCCAATACAACCGCAATTAAGTTCTGTATAAAGCCGGGGTATATTATCTTGTTCCATACATTTTGTCCACCGGGCAACCGTCGAAGATACTCTTTAAATTGTGCAGAGTGCCACATGTTATGAATTGGTAGGTTTTTACTTCGATATGCATCGTTTTTATACTTCTTCTGCACACAGTTGTTGGTCAAATGTATGGCTTCTCGTAAGTCCGTCATGTTGAATTCCTGTGAGCTAAATCTCAGATAGCAGTCGTTGTATAGCCAAATGCTTACGTGCTCACTTGCAACAGTTAGGAGCATGTAAGCGCGTATATCGAACTTAGTTTTATATATTAGTAAAGGTCGCTCTAGAAAATATGATGAAAAAAAATAAAAATCTTAGTAGGATTAAATTACTACGAGAGGTTACTCACCAATATATTTTTGTACAATGTAACTCCCATTCATATTTTTACTTGCATGGTCTAGTATTTCGTTTAGAAATTTTTTTACAACAATGCCTATACCACGGCACTGATAACCTGGCTTTAAAATCCAAAGGTTTCGAAAACCTTCCCAATTAAGGCCTAGTTGCTTCTTTTCAAGTTTCTTGATCATATGCATTCCGCATTCAACTTCACCAACAAGGTTGTCGTGGTTTGTGGTTAGCCATGCCTTTCTGTATATAATGCTATTAGATTTTATTATGAAGTTTCTCATGGCTATTTTCTCCTCGTCATTTTTTGTAGGTATGATGTCCAAGTTTTTATTCTCCAATTCATCAAGTTGGTTTTGAATGTTTTTGAGTGCAAACGCAATCAAATCCATTGATACGGTGCCGTTTTTTTGATCGATATTCAAATTAGGATCTTCAATATTTTCCCATAAATATCGGATCAGGCTGCGACATTGTGTGTTGTTGTAGTCTTCTACAAACGATAAACGTTCTTCAACTCTACCACCAAGTCTGTAGAAGCGCGGATATTTCATTGTACACATCGAATCTCGTCTGTACCACACCTCAAGTTCAGAACATCCAATAAGTCCGATTTTTGTTGAAAAATCGACTTTCAAACCACGACGTATACGATTTCTAAGTGGAAATATATCTCCGCACATATCTTGCATACCTTTAGGTTGCCATATAAAGAATGCAGGGTAACGCGCTAAAAGTTTTGATATCATGACTATTTCATAATCATTTCCAGGTCGTGCGTGACGCATTAAGGAGTCCTCAGGTAATGTTTGTAGATATGAGTACCGATTCGGTGGCAGTTTCTCTAACCAACCACGGTCATATAATTCTTGTCTTATTATGTTATAGGAACCGTAGACTATAAAGATCCTTTTATTCCTATATGCATCTTGAACTTTCGATTGGTATACGCTTGATAGCATACGGACCTCAATTTTAGTGGTTGGTAGTCGAGTCTGCACACCTAGCTTGGTCACATTTCTTTTAACATTATAAATATTAGCTACACTCAGCTTATCCTTAACAGTTTCTTTTTTAGATATCGAGAAGCTTGTGGAGAGTTCTATTATTTCAGCATCTAAATTTTGTACCAAAGTTCGTATTTTTGAAATAGGATTCTTGTACTTAATTTTGGATGTTGATAATGCCATTTTTCATATCCAAAAACCTCTAAACTTTATGAAATAATTTTAAAATACCAAAAAGTGTGAGCAAACCATTAATACGAATTTGTTAAAACTACGAACAAAAAAATATATCTGAAGTTTAAAAATATCTAGACATATAACAGAAATTTTCTATTTGATAAAACAAATCATGGCTTCCTTTCTGTACTAGAATAACGTAGTCATATGCTTTTTTCAGTAGAAATTTTGAATCAATTCGGCAAAGTGCGATAATTTTATTTTAAATATATTTAGTTCTGTTTTCTTTATTTATTATTATAATTGTTTATTATTATAATTGTATAAATATATACAAAACGAAATAGGATCGAACAGTCTTACGTGCACTACACAAAACATATTCGGTTATCAAGTAACCATACATATGATTTTATTTATTGTGAATGGCTACATGAACTGTCAAAAAATGTAAACATAAGAAATACAAAAATGGTATAAGGAAGTTACCGCCGCAAAAGAACAGTTGGTAGAATTTGTTGTTTTTAGCAAATATAATTTATTAATAAATGCTTTGGATTTTTATTAATTGAATATTTCTGTGTTGTGTGTAATACGCAATGGAGGAGAATTCTAAAACTTCAGAAACTACGCAAAAGAAAATAGTTTTAACACTTATAAGTGGTACCGGCTTTGTTTTCAATCATAATGGTAAGAACATAAACGTTTCTTGTAGGAATTATTGTATGTAATTTGGGCATTATATTAATATTTTTTATAGTATATACTGTCAGATGTATTTTGTAACGTTATACATACATAGTTGTATTGAATAAGGCCAACTGGCGTCCCTTTTCTTAAACTGCATGCCTTATTCCGTTAATCGAAAAAGCACGCCGGCTGGCCTGTTACAACCATTTTAAGTTATGGACGTTGCTGATTTTGGCAGTTTGTGCGCAGCTCCACAGTAAAAAAATGTCAAATTAAAACTGTAATTTTAGTTTTTTTAAAAAGAGAGTAGCTAAGTAAGTGAAATATGTATGTGTTCATTATAAAATTTTTTATATATAATTTTGTTTTGAGATCGGGTAACTGTTCCGTTAAATATTATACATGAACAAAAAAATTACTTTACTCAATTTTGTAAGATATAGTTTTATGACTGCTATAGTTTAACACTTTAATATTTTAAATCGTTCATTATTTTTCTACAGATTATGTTACACTTCGAAAGAAATATCGTATAATTGGAGCAAGAAGAGAAGCTTGCTTTGCTCGAAAAGTGTTGGCGTCACGTTTTAGTAAGAAAAACTCAAATTTTATTTAAAAAATTTTAACACATTTTCTTTCAAAATCTAGGTATTCCTGTGCGATTGACGCCGCTAGAAACACGTTTGTTGTTGGAGCGGGACATTGCTGTACTAGTATCTAAAAAAGAAAGACTTTTGGGAGAACCCTCAGTTGCTGAGCAAGAGGCCTTTAAAGACCGTTCCACGCAGCAATTAAAAGCATGCAATGAAATGAATGTCGCAGAAAAAACAGTGGATAGAGAATTATCAGTTCCAAGAAAACATTTGGGCAAAAGAAAACATTCCTCTGCGACCGTTATAACACCATTACCTAATATTGAAGGTAAAATTCTTAACAAAAATATCATACATAAAAAGTTATTAACAATTTTCTATATGTGCAGAAATAAATAAAATGATAACGGAAAATGTGAATAATACGGAAAGTAGTTTTGCACTGAATGAAAAAAGTTTATACGTTTTTTTTAATGGATTCCCCCTGCCACATAGTAAGACTCACTTTCTACAAATAAATTATTTTTAACTACGTTTTTTTTAGAAGCTAAAATTGTGAGTGTTAAAGACAACAACTCTTTTCAATACCGAGTATTTAGGGATTTATGGATGCGTGGTTATTATATAACTTGTGGCGATGTGTATGGAGGGGATTTTATTATTTATAATGGAGATCCTGAGCGATATCATTCTTCTCATATTATTAATTTGTTACCAGATGGTAAATTGCATTATTATGAAATGATGACTATGTCACGAATGGCGACGGCTGTAAGAAAAAATAGTGTCGTTGCGTATCTAATACAAAAAGATGAAAACCAAACTACTGAACTAAAGTACTACACATTTAAATGGAACAAGCAGTTTTATGATTCATTTAAAGAAGATAAAACTGAATCTTCCACTGAAAATGAATCGTCCACTGAAAATGAATCGTCCACTGAAAATGAATCCTCTACTGAAAATGAATCTACCGAAAATGAAGTGTCCACTGAAAATAAATCTTCTACTGAAAATTAATACATATTCTAAGACTTGAAGGAATGTTACGAGGAAGGAGATGTTGCCTCCGATGCAATGTAATGGTTAACTGAAGACAGCAAATCAACTTAAACAGTAATAAATCAGTTTTGATGATGAATATTTCAACTCATAGATTATGTTATACGCACGGGACTCATTCGCATATATAAGACAACGAATTTGGGATATAACAGCTTCAATTATAAAACACATATATGAATATGTAATTGTATTCAACACATATTTCACACATTTTACAACATCATGTTATCGTTTTACTCTTTTTCACAACAATTTGACGAGGTAAATTATTTATAAATGTATGTTTATCAATTCATAAATTTTAAAGAAATGTGTAGAAGTGAAATGTATGTATAAATTTTTTGACAATAAGTTTATTAAAAACCCAGATTGAATCGTCATCTACATTTAATTTACATTTTGAGACAAACAATTGAGAGTGCAAAATTAATTAATTTTAAATGTCTGGCAGGATAATTTTCAGATATCAAATTTTTAAATTAATAATTCAAAGTCAAAATAAATTTTATATATAAAAGTTTTTTAAAATTCCACAAATATTCATAATTGTTCGTGTCGATCCTTTTCCGAGTTAGTGCATCTGGACACATTAAACAAGTAATTTCCGCATCATTCTCTAATAATTCTTACTTTCTTAATATTTTTATAAACTTAAATAGTGAACAAAATTGAAATATTTTAAGTCGTGTGGGTTGTAGATTACTTTTTACATAATTATTTTGTTTATTTATTTAAACATAAATCATAATGATACAAAATGAGCAATATATAATATCTATTTAACTATATTTATCCATTTAGTACTTCTGTAATAAAAGAATCATAGAAGGGTCAATTAAATAAATACAAAACCTAAATTTATAAACTAAATTTATAAAAACTTTATACTTTATATATTGTAGTAAACCATAATAAGGCTTTATGTCATAGTCATAACTTAAGCCATGATACTGACTTCAGTAAGATAAATCTAAAAGTCGCTAAAATTTATTGCTGTGAAAACAACTATTTCTTGTTTTGTTATATTTAGTATTTTTGTACTTGCATGATAAATTATATTTCCTTTTTTTACATTAAAACGTTAAATTTGAAATAAAAATGAAAGAAACTATATGCTTTCAAACAATATTACCATCAATCACATACTTAATGTGACATATGCTAACCTTACTATGAAAAGAAATCAAAGTCATAATTAAGTTACGATTGTGACATTAGCCCTTTAGTATTGACTGAAAACTGACATTATTTAGCATTCGCATTGTTTACTTAAGGTGTTTATTAAAGTATTGGTTGTGACTTTTCATTAAAGGAATATTCCACTATTTGTTAATGCAATTTTGATATAAAGTGTCCCTAGTAATAAGATCTGTATCTTATTACGTTTACTTTCATACTTTGGTCACAGTCTAAAGATTCCTTATTTTTCAAATCATGCCGTCCATCTATTATCTTTTTTACATCAACTTTGTTATTAATATCTGTATTAATAGCTTCGTCAAGGAAATGAAACAAAAACTAATGTACTTTCATTAATTGATTATAATCTTCTTTTCAAATTTGCAAGATCTAACTATCAAGAGAAATCATCCAACAATTTGTTTAGATGCTCACATCAGCTGTAAGCAGAGACAAAAGGGGTCTAAAATGCGATTCAAATTTCGCATCTGACCAGACTGCAATGAGCATTTACTCCCTCCTCGTAACTACCTTAAATGAAAACAAAATGTTTTATTTTCAATCTATATAGTCCAATATATATACATACACAGAGTGAAGAGCGTAATTATTGACACAGAGAGTATGTTAAACTTTATTTGGAATTTCTTCACCTTTAATACTAAACTATCTTCTGTTGATATGATTGTTAGTATAGCATTACGACTATACTAACGTGCCGTTCTTGAGATAACATGTAAGGATTGCAAGACGAATACATGTTTAAGGGAGTGGATAGGTGGGGTTATGGTTCAGGGGATAAAGGAAGTGGGGAGGGGCGATATATTTGAAACCAACCAAGGTTTCAAGGTTCCAAGAATGCTCGGGTCTATGTCGCGGAGCCAGTCGTCGAAGACGAGCAAGCGCCGTTCAACATCCCCCAAAGGGGTCACACAAGCAGGTATGTGTTTGTTTGCCATTTGTCGTTTATTACTGCTGATTCTAATGATGTTTGGCTTGAAAATCAAATTCTTGCACCGTTATTTGATCCATTAATACTAAACTATCTTCTGTTGATATGATTGTTATTATAGCATAATGACTTAATGCATCAATGTGTCTGCTTAATCTGCTGATTCTAATGATATTTGGCTTGAAAATCAAATTTTTGCATAGTTATTTGATTTATTAACCATCTAGTTTTATTCTTTGAACGCTTCGTCTTTATCTTTTGCAATCACCACATCATTTTTACATCATCTATATACAATAAAACAATACTTATATTAATTAATATTTCTCTTGCAAAGACGAGCGGCAAATGATCTTGATAATGAGCAAGTTCTGTGGCTTTAACAATTAAGTTTTTCGGTATATGATATGCTTTTTCTTGATTTGTTTTTGTACCGAAGGCGAAGCAGCTCTACTAGCTGCTACTTGTGAAAAGATTGGAATGAAATTGTTATAATAGTTGACCTTACCTATAAAGGTTTCAAGTTCTTTTGCATTTTTTGGCTTAGGTAAGTCTTTTACTGCTGCTACTCCTTTCTGATCTGGTAATATTCCTTTGGCACTTAAATGTCGACCTAAGTATGTAATCAGGCTTTGTAGGAATTCGCTCTTAGATCGCATGCATTTAATACCACTATTTTGTAATCGCTTCAAGACTTCTTCCAATCTTTTTAAATGTTCCGCATCTTTTTGTGCTGATATAATGATATCGTCAATATAATTTCCAACTCCTGGAAAATCATTTAGTATGCTTTCCAAGTACTTTTGAAATATGGCGAGGGCACTAGCAATACCACAAGTCATGCGCTGATACTGATACAATCCGTTTATTGTATTTACTACCAGTACATCTCTTGATTTTTCATCTACTACAAACTGCATGTAAGTCTCTTTTAAATCAATTTTAGAAAACCTTTTTCCATTTCTGATCGTTTACCTAAAACAACTGCTCTCGCATTGGTAGAAGGAATTGATCAATGTTAATTTGCTTGTTATCACCTTTCAAATCTCCACATATTCTTATTGATGAGTCTGGTTTGTTTACCGGAAGTATAGGAGATGTCAATTCGCTCAGCTTCTAATTTAAATCTTTCCATTAAAACAAATGGAATTGGTCTGCTTTTGTTAAAAATTGGGTTGGCCTTTTCTTTTAGTTTATTTGATGCTTTAAAATTTTTCACTGCTTCTAGTTCGTTATCAAAAACGTCATTATATTTTTCACATAAGGCTTCAATATTAATATTTTGCCTTTCTTCTATTGTTGCCACTTGCTGAATTTTAAATTTGAATATTTTAAAAAGATCTGCACTTCCATTTGCCCAGCGGTTTTAATTGGAGAATTCCCATATGCAAATATTTTTTGATTATATTTTTTTAATGGAGGTTTACCTTATTGCTCATAGGTTTTATATGAGATTATTGAGATTGTTGCACCACAGTCTAGCTGAAACTTGATTATTTTATTTAGAATTTCGATATCTACAAATTCTTTATTATTGTCTTCATTAAATTTTTCAAGAGAATGTATTGTTTGTTCAGTTTTTGATTGGCACACTGGTGCTATGTGACCAATTTTACCACACTTGCAACATGTTGCTTTTTTAAACTTATAATCAAACCGCTATTCAGAAATGAAAATCTCAATGGTAAGAACAGGAAACTAATATATAACCAAATAATTCGTCCGTCACTTCTATATGGTTGTGTAGCGTTTAGCAAAGCTTCAAACATTACTATTCACCAGCTAGAAATTACACAAAGCCAGGTTCTGAGAAGACTTTTCAAAGTTCCATGGTACATTAGCACGAATGACATCCTCAGGGATATCAAGATTGATCCCATCAAAAAATACATAAAGGATAGAACTCTGAAATTATTTGCGAAAACTGACAGACTTACCAACACCGCGTTAATAAATCTCAAAATGGTTACTGGCTCCTCGGGGAGGTATGCAGATCTGAGGTCAATTATTGCTTTGTCTGATGATGTGATAAACAATAATCTAGTAAAGGTGTAAAGGGGGTTTTGAAAATACCTCGAGTTAAAAAAGAGTATAAGTGCTTAAGTGCACTAGCTCAAAACAGCTTTAACATAATACTAAAAAAAACCAGAGAATGATTCAAATTTTTGATCTTGATCATTTTGATTATTTCATTATCAAAACTTTTATTGCATTCCTCTGACCCACACTTAAATTCGCAATCTCTTGCCATGCCTCTAAGATCGGCTACATATTCTTTGTATTTTTGAGCTGTTGCCTTTGTTTACCTAAAAAAATCATAACAGGCAGCTATCACGTGTTTTCTCTCTCTATAATGATCCCCTAGCAACTCCATTAATTGCTTATATGGTTGGTTATCTAAGTTTTTGCAACCACACAATTATTTTAATAATTCGAAGGCTTCACTTCCTACCCATGATAGAAGAAAAGCTTTCTTTTTCGTGTCATCGTTCACCATGTAAGCTGTAAAATACTGTTCCAGTTGCTGGAAATAGGAGTCCCAAGTTCCTTTTTCATTGCTAAACGAATGGAACATAGGCACACCGCCTTTTGAAGTGATGAAATTCGAATCTCCGCCACGCTGCTCTATTAATGTTTGCATCATTTGCTGCTGCATTATTATTACCTTTTTAAATTCATCTTGCTTTATTAATAATTTCCTTCAAAATCCTTATGTCCATCTTTACGTGGTTTGATTGATCTGTATTTTATATTCAGTTCATCTCTCTTTTTTTTTACATGTTCATTCCATCTCAGCTTTGCATCCAACGTCATACCGAGGTACTTAGCCGTATTAGAATGTGGAATTTGTATTCCATCAATGTAGAGGGGCATAAATCTGATATTTCCGTTTGTAAAATTGACGTGAACTGATTTATAGTGGTTAAGTTTTATTTTCCACTTTTCAGCCCAAGCGATAATGTCATTGACAGAAGACTGCAGACGCCTGGCTGCTGTTAGTTCATCATCTCCAATCGCTAGAACAGCTGTATCGTCAGCGAACGTCGCTGTAAACGTCGCTGAGCTCGTTGGCAAATCATGTGTGTATATTAAATATAACAAAGGACCAAGTACACTGCCTTGGGGTACCCCAGCGTTGATTTTTTGGAGTTCACTGTAATCGTTTCCATGCTTCACACGGAAGTAACGATTGGTCAAATAAGAAGAAACCATATCAAATACTCCAACGGAAAAATGTCTCTTATTTTTGTTAGTAGACCTGTATGCCAAACTTTGTCGAAAGACTGGGATACGTCTAAGAATACTGCTGAACATACTTTCTTTTCCTCAAGGGCAGTTTCGACTACGTTTGTGATTCTGTGGACTTGATCAATGGTCGAGTGATTACACCTGAATCCAAATTGATGCATATGTATGGTCTGCTGTTGTTCAAGTAAAGGCAACATCCGTTTGAGCATAATTTTTTCAAATACTTTTGAAAGCACAGGTAGGAGAGCTATTGGCCTATAGGAGCTAACCTCGTTTGCATCTTTCCCCGGTTCAAGGACCATAATAATTTCTGAGACCTTCCACAACGAAGGGAGATATTTCAATCGTAGAACAGCATTGAAGATGTTAGTAACTTTAACTATGCAGTTAGCTGGGATTTCTCTAAGAAGTTCTGCAGTTATGAGTTCATATCCTGGTGTTTTTCTTAGCTTAAGTTCGTTCTTTATTATCATCATTACTTCAAGCTCGCTAGTTGGCGGCAAATTGTTTATGCTATTAGTACCCAGATCACAAGTTTCAACACTATTTTCACTACCAGAAATAGAGAATACTTTTGTTAAATGTTCAGAAAAAAGTTCAGCTTTTTCTTTATCACTATTGGGCCATTGGCTAGTGAAGGTCTTTATGGGTGCGTTATAAGAGGCTGGCCGTTTTATATTTCGAGTGCATTTACACAAGGAGTAATCTGTGCTGCGATCATTGGTCAAATCAGACAAGTATGAATGGAATTGTTTATTTTTAAAGCGCTTGATCTCAGAGGTAAGTTCTTTAGTCAGCCTATTTAAATTAGCTTTAACTGCTGGGGATCTGGAGTGTTGCCACTTTTTCCTTATTTTAAGTTTTTTTGGTAGTAGTTCTAATATGGCCGTTGGA